ACCAGCACTGCTGGGAAAGAGACTGTGAGAGACTGTTGGCCGAGGGACGGTGGGCTGGGAGAGGGACTGAGCGTTTTTCCTGAGCTTGAATTGTACCTGGTGCTTCCCTAATAAACCCCGTAATCTGTGAGTTCTGTGTGGCCACTGCAGCGAATTATCAAACCCAGGAGAGAGGTGGTGGGTGCTTTGGGAGGAACGGTTGGTGAAAGGGCTAGAGGGAGGCAGCATGTCTGGCCCTGTAGGAATAGGCCTTGGGTTACTGCTGGTAATCCTGTCTTCATTTTGTAGGATTAGAGGAGGTCAGAACTTGTGGCCTCCTTGCCGTCTTTGCAACTGGGTAATCCAGGTGGATGTCGCCAGACTGTTCTGCAGGTATCAGCAACACCCTGGCAGCCACCTCAACGTCCACATGTGGTTTACTCAGTCAGTGGCTTCACCCACGGAGAGGACCCCATAAAGCTTGGCTGGTTTTCTCGGGATGCCTCGGGGCGTGGAGCGCTGTCTGCAGCAGCTGTGGGAGCACCCGAGCGGCCCCTGCTCCTGGGGTCTGCACGGAGCCGCTGACGCTGTGCTGAGGTGCGAGGCGCTCTCCCCCGCCGTCCCTTCTCCATTTAGCACTGCGCTCCCCAGGGTCAGGGTGCGGACCCCTAAAACACCCTCGGCTGGGTCAGTATCTTAGGGCCCACCGTCACATCCAAAGACGCCCAGAGACCCCTCCCACACGCAGACGCCCCGTCCTCAGCCCCAGGGACTCCTCCCACATGCAGACGCCCCGTCCTCAGCCCCAGGCACCCCTCCCACACGCAGACACTGCGTCCTCAGCCCCAGGGACCCCTCCCACATGCAGATGCTGCATCCTCAGTTTTAGGGACCCCTTCCACATGCAGACATCCTGTCCTCAGTTCCAGGGACCCCTCCCACATGCAGACACCCCATCCTCAGTCCCAGGCACCCCTCCCACATGCAGATGCTACATCCTCAGTTTTAGGGACCCCTTCCACATGCAGACACCCCGTCTTCAGTTCCAGGACCCCCTCCTACATGCAGACACCCCGTCTTCAGTCCCCGGGACCCTTCCCATAAGCAGACGCTGCACCCTCAGTCCCACAACTGCTCCTGCAGGTGCCCAGGGAGGGCTGGGCCAGCTGACGTGCTCCCGACATGAACATGGCCCGTGCGCCTCACGCAGCTACCAGCAGCTCTCTCCCTGAGGAATTCCAATCCCAGCTCATGTTCTGTGTGAGGGACGCCATGCCTGCTGCCTCTGTGCAGGCGGCCTCTTCCTCTCAGCATGATGGCTGGCTGTGGTTGAGGTCTGTAACGCTGGCGTAGAGACCGATGACCCCGCTGGTCCACGGGCTGACTTTCTCTGCACTCAGACGGTTCACCCAACATACGGTGCTGAGCGTGTCTCCCTCAACCCCCAACCTTCCGTGTGAGGTAACTGATCTTCCCCTAAAAGAAGATGTGCTGGTCACTGGCCTATGTCCATGCATCGCTGTTGGCCCCAGGACAGCTATAGGCTCAGTGCTGAATGTTGAGTCACTGCAGTTTCCGGAAGGTCCTGAGACCTCCCACAGCCTGCACCTCAGTTCAGTGGCTTGGACGCTGCTCGTTCACGTGGAAGCAGCGCATCAGGACAGGGACGGGTTTTACACCCTGTTCTCCTGGGTACTCAAGGCCCCGGAGGGACCCCACATCCTAACCCCAGGGGGACAAACAGGGAAGGCTGCGTCTGACTCTCGGGCAGGCTGAGGTCGCTTCTGTTGGTCCCCCTCAAGATGGCAGCATCCCTACAAACAGTGGTCCACCCCAAGCTGGTGTGGGAGGGAAAAGCCGGCCCTGGGACCCTGCATTGTCCAGGAGGGTGACCTGACTGGGGCTGCTGAGAGGTGAGCCCCCTCCACCTGGGCCTGTGGACCCCTGACCAGGTCCCACTCCCTGTACTGAGTTAAAGCACAGACTCAGATGACACCAGGGGTCCCAGCCCAGCCCCACTCCTTGTGACAGTCCTTGCCCCTGTGACCTCTCCTCTCTGGCCCCACAGCTTCCTTCTGGGAGACACTGCTGCCAGTACAGGGCCATTCCCCAGCCAAACTCTCTGAGTGAGGACTTCCCACATCTCCTGGGGCTGCCACGCGGCCCGGCCAGCTCATCTTCCCGCAGGACCTGATGGACGCTGCAGGGGGCATCTGCATCTTTGCCCACTCACGGCGGCCTCCCTGGTGTCCGGGAGCTGCCCCACCCCGAGACACAGCGCGTGGCCCGCAGTGCCCTCCGGGATGTGGAAGCCCTCCGCCCCTTACAAGGACCCCTGTGTGCCTCCTCTGCAGCTCCTTGTGGGGACCTACTGAGATGCTGCTGTCCCCACACTTACTGTAACCTTGGGCACACAGCACCTGCTGTAAACACACTGAAGGGCTGTGTGTGTCACAAAAGTGCCGGTATGTCAAATCTCAGCAGGGTCACCCACGGTGGATGGGTTTCAACAGGGCTTCTAGACTAAGACAGACTGGGAAGAAAGGGCTGCTGAGGGACGTGCGAAAACTAACCAGTGGGAGCCCCGTGGGCCACAACAGAACACTGTCCCACGAATGAGGGACTTGTGAAGGAGCCCCGTTGGCCACAACAGAACATCCCACTGGTGAAGAACTTGTGAAAATTAACCAGTGGGAGCCCCATGGGCCACAACAGAACACTGTCCCACTGGTGAGGGACTTCTGAAAATTAACCAGTGGGAGCCCTGCTGGCCACAACAGAACACTGTCCCACGAATGAGGGACTTCTGAAAATTAACCAGTGGGAGACCAGTGGGCCACAACAGAACACCGTCCCACTGGCTTGCTTTGAACACATCATGAGGAGGGATCAATTTCTGCAGGAAGAGGACACCATGTTTGATGAAGTTGAGGGCCAATGGAGTGAGGACAACCTTCGGTGATACGCCATGGTGGCTGCAATGATAGCCTGAAACGGGTTGGTGATCAAGATGGTGACGCAGGACCATGAAACATTTCCTTTTTGTGGTAAATAAGGTCATTACAAGTTGAATGTGACTGGGGGTTAGCTATCTACCTACCTAACCACTGACCCACCCACCCATGAATCCATCCACCCACCCATCCATCCATCCATCCCTCCATCTACCCACTCACCCACCCACCCA